CACTTAAAGTTAAAATATAAAGAAAAACATACTTAAAAACGATAAACATAGATGTAGTGTGAAGTTTCCTGGGGGAGAAGATTTGGTTTTGTACAGGTATGAAAGTGAAAGTTGCTCCATCCTGTCCGACTCTTTGCAACCCCATGGACTAAACAATCCATGGAATTCTCCAGGCCAGAATACTGGAGTGGGTAACCATTCCCTTCTCCAGGGGATCTTTCTGACCCAGAAATCGAACCAGCGTCTCCTGCATTGCAGGCGGACTCTTTACCAGCTGAGCAACCAGGGAAGCCCTTATAATAGATATACCAGCAGATTCTGTTTTGGATGGTGGATTCATAGGCATTTATTACATGATGAAAGAAGGAAAGAGAGACAGGGAGAAAGAAAGAAAGGAAGGAAGGAAGAAAAGAGGGAAGGAAGGAAGAAGAAAAGACACTTACTGATGGAGCAATTATGAGAGTGTATAAAGCACTGGGAATTGTGATTAAACCAGTTTCATGCACTTGGATTTTATAAAAGAAAGAGAGGGATGAAGGAGGGACAGAAAGAGGGAAGGAGAGAGAGTGGTTTGGACAAGTAGGGTTGGGGAAATATACAGACTGAGATTAGATATCATTGTTAAAGGCTTCCCTTTTAGCAGTCCTTGGCTATCAGAGAAAGGGTAGAGATTGGGTTCTGTTTGGCACTGGCAATCAGTCAGAATTTGCAGTGGGAAGCCTGGGGAGTGAGGGGTATTGAGTGGCAGCTGAGACCAAGCCCGTGCTGACCACCACAGGAGCCAGCTGGGGAGCTGACTGCTCGGTGCCAGGACTGGACCTTGGGCAGCATGTTGCTGTAGGTATGGGCCACCTTACTGGGAGGGTTCCCTTCGGCCACTCCCTCTCAGAGGAAGCATGGCGCTGAGTGAGTCACAAGGAGGCCTGAGGAAGTAGGTGGGATTGGGAATCTGAGCCAGGAAGCAGCTCAGAGTCGTGCTGGTGGAGAGCATCAGCTTAGTTCACACCCCACGTCTTTCACTTGCGTTTGTGTGACTTTGGGTGAGTTACTTAAACATCAGTTCTAAGGCTCCGTTTCCCAACTGCAAATTGAGATAACTCACCTCATAGAGCTTTCCTAAAAATTAAATAAGATAGTGTATGCAAAAGGGATGGTGTCTTAAGAACTCACTAAATGATAGTTAAAATCAAACTGCTTATCAAAGCAGATCCATCCTCAGATAGGAAACTGAACCTAAGAGAGAGTAACACACAGATCAAGGCGGTCTGGAAGCTGGAAAGAACAGCCAGACAGAGGGACTCTCTAAAATAAAAAACATGGCCTATCCAACACCCTGCTGGAAGACTTAAGCAGTATTCCTATCTTTCTCAAAATCAACCGGGGCACACACGGTGGTGAAATTTACAAGTAAGCCTACCACACCAGAATCCAGTCTCCTCATTTGAAAACTATGAGTTGGAAGGATTCTTCATTATATGATATGCTGACTGTTCAACCCTCCTCAATCATTTCTGGTTTTGTTCAACTGTTAGCTCTCTTCCACTTAAAAAAAAAGAAAGCACTTATCCTAGAGAAAAGTCAATTGCTTTCACAGTATTCTCAGGAACTGAAATCGTACTTTGTGAAGTTGTCTGTCTTGGATTATTTGTATTGGCTTTTTCCCCTTAGCTGTTTTATTTGGGGGAGGCCGGGGGGTGGGGGTGGAGGGGGGACAATGAGCTTTTAAATTTTGTATTTCTTGCTCTGCCATCTAGGCAAACTTGATTTAGAAAATGCCAGCCTGAGTTGAGTACTGCTAAGGAGGAATGAAGAAAGGCATTCTCATAATTGATTTGTATAGTCCCAGTATGGCAGGAGCAGTAAGAATAAAGGGACAGAAATCTCAAAAGAATGAAAATTTAGCAGTAACCAGTCAAAGGTCGCTCTTGCAGCCATTCACTCTAACCATGACTACCTGACTTAATTCCTCATCTCTCAGGTTTTATGTGGACCATGTGTTTGGGGTTTTCTTCCCACCTTATGGGGGGGCAGGTCGGGGTGGGGAATGATAGGAACACAACTAGGGGACTAAAGGAGTAGGATTAGAGAACTGTAACAAAAGCCTGAGACTGGCTTTTGTCAGTTTGCTCATTTCCTCCTTAACAGGACAAACAGGCTGTATTACTTTTCCATGCAGGTTGAAAGCTTATGAATTCTTTCCTTGCACTTGCTTAAGACCAGAAGCCCAAAGTTCCCTTAACTCCAGTGTCTGCTCCCAGTGCTCCAGGTGTCATGACTTGGCTTCTGCATTTGAAGGCATCACCTTTCCCACCCTGTCACTTCCACCTGGGCACCTCTCAGTACCCTGCCAGTTTGCTTTCTTTGCTGGGGTTTCACCTCCATGGTTCTAGAAAAATGTAACAATGAGCCATCTGGGTGAAAATCCAGTGAGAACGGAGATGGAATCGATGAAGGGAGGAAAATGATTTAGCTCACTCTGAGCCCCTGTCTTTTGTTGGGATCCAAATATCCTCCCTCCCTTTTATAGGAGAGAAAGAGAAAGAAGAAGAAAGCCAGTCACTTTGGCATTGCCAAGGTATTAAAAAAAAAAAAATTCCCCAACAATCTCATTGCTGCCTCCTAGTGAAAGTTTTAGAATTGAAAAAAGACCATTCACAGGGAGGATCTAAGGGAAAAAGAAGAAAGTGACTTTGCAGACTTTTCCCCAAACTTTGTCTGAGAAAGGGTCTGCCTCTCAGCTGCAGAATAGATATATTTGTGGTCACGGGTATTCCTTGGCCACAAGGCAAATACAGACCCTGTATAGGCTCCACGGATGGAGTACACGGTCCTTTGGGTGCTTGCCATCCACTTGGCAATATAAAGCCCACAGAACTTCTAATTCTCTTTCAATATATTTTTCCTTCACTGTCCACTCACACAGACTGCTCTCTTTCCTATATCTTGGTATTTTTTCGCTTTTAGGTCACAATGTACAAGAACAGCGGTAAAGAATCCGCCTGCCAATGCAGGAGACCGGGTTCGATCCCTGGGTCAGGAAAGTCCCCTGAAGAAGGATATGGCAACCCACTCGAGTATTCTTGCTTGGGGAATCCCACAGACAGAAGAGCCTGGTGGGCTACAGTCCACGGGGTCACAAAAAGTCGGGTGCCACTGAGCATACACGCAGGCAGAGAAATGTAAAAGAACAAATATATAAGGTTCCATGAGTTCAAACGTAAGCTCTGTGGACATTAAAACTAAATCGTCATTTCAGTACATAAGAAAGGGAATGGCAAGAAAACTTATGGAGAAAAGCTTAACCAGACTCAGTCAAGAGGCATGAAGGCCCGTGAATAGTAGCCGTGATTTGCTGCTGTCCCCCATGAGGGTTTATCCTGGGTACCTCTCCCTGGATGAAAAGGCTCTAGGCCAAGAATACTGATCCCCTAAAAACCAAAACTGAAAACTATACCTTTCCTAGTGTGAAATTGTATTACGTGAATAGCAAACAAGCACACAAATAACCATTTTCTTTTTAGGTACGGGAACATCTTTTTTTTTCTCCCCACAGTTCAACATTCATGAACTTAAGAACTTTCAAATCTGGTTCATTTAATATCACTAAACAGGCAATACCACACAATTCATAAAACCATAGCCTAGGAAGCTTATACATTTTATTTTTATAAGATATTTGACATACAGGCATACATTTCCATCATATATGCAAACATTTCATGGTAATAATTTATTGCAATTTATTTCTAAACTTAAATTTGAAAATACACAATAATTTAACTCACCAATATAAAAATGTTTCTCAGTCCTTATCCTTTTGTATATATCAAAATAATTTTCAAGATTAGACTCAACTTTATTCACAATAATCTTAGTAACACTTTTCACATCTTGTGCCCCTGTACATATATATGTCCTTTGTATGACAGTGTATATTTTGTCTCAAACCTATTATATAAGTTAGTAGGTTAAAAGCTCGGGGATGATAGTTTCATAGTTTATCATCACAAAACAGTATATTTAATACTCAAGTCTATATAATTACTCCTGCTAGGGTTTTAACAGTTGCTCCACCCAGAGTCTGTGAACAGAGTGTCTTTATAGAGCCTGTAAAGGAATATGGTTCTAAAGAAATCAGTCCAATTGTTTTAGCAATACAAGGGCTGATGCAAAGTAAACATTTGTGTGGTATCTTAAGAAAGAGAGTCACTCCCATACATTTCACTGATGATTTGCATTTCTGTATGTCATCACAGCAACTAAAAAAAAAAAAAGCAACAATCACTTTTCTATTATTAAAATGAGCAATAAAACAAGGCTAACTTTTAAATAAAACTGATGGCCTAAAAATGTTTTCATTTAAGTTCAATCAGTTCTTCATACCTGCATATGTGTTTGTGTTCGAACTGGACATGAATTGCAGGGAAAACTTAAAAGAGTTAACTGATTGTAGAACTTCCTACTTGTACACACCACATGGCTAGGTCAAATCCACACTGCCAAAGAGGCAAGAAAGTTCCCCCTGAAGGGCAGGCCAACTTGTGAATGCAACTTCCAGACTGATCGTGTTAGAAGATGTGCTGCAAGCATACCAAGAAGTGAGGAAAATCTGCAAACAAAATCATGCTGTTTGATCTTTGCATTATGTCAAATATAAAGGAAAAAGCTGCTCCTACTAAAGGAAATTGTTCTTAACAGCATAAAAATACTCCAGTACACACTGACTAGTACGTTTCACTTCTGTCTTTCAGAGAAACGTTTTATACTTCTTACTGATTTTGAACACCTTCATCCTATCTGTGCTTGAAATACTGTGAGGCTAACTGTACCATAAACCGATCAGCATATGGATGACTAGCGACTAGAATAAAAACAAACCCCCAGAATTTTAAAAGATCTGAAGAGTCGGCCAAGGATGCCAGTTGTCAGTCTGGGCTAGTTCCTTTTCGAAAGGGTTGCCAGGCGCACGCTCAGCCCCTCCTCAGTTATCTTTCACTCCACTACCTCCCACTGGGTGCATCACCAGTGCCAGAAAATTCGAGAAGCATCTGCGGCAAGTAACATCTGGACCTCCAAGGAAGCACCTTCTTGCTAGGAAAAGTCTCCAGCATTTTCTGGGCTGCGTCCCCTCTTCCTCCGAAGCGCGCGAGGCTCTCCTCCACGTGCGCGCCTCCTTCCTCCAAGGGCAGAGGATCCCAGAACCGCGACCACCGCTGCTCCGGCCGGCAGGGGCCGCCGGGACGACCCCAGGGGTGGCGGAAGCCAAACAGTGCGCAAACTCGGCGGCGCGCTCCGAACTCTCCGCTCGCCTAAACCTGTTCTCAAGTGAAAAGCGGGTGGGAGGAGGAGTACGAGGGTGGGGGTTGGGGGGGGTGAGGAGGGGGAGAGGCGGCGGGGATCCTGTTTAATTCGCGGTCCTGAGGGTGTGGGAGCGGGAGGAGGATCGGCTGGTCCCTCCTCCCTCCCCAAGTGCTGGGCTCCACCTCCTCCGCATGCCCCCAGATATACACACACTCAGCGGCGGCCGGCCATGCACACCCAGCGCTGGCTTCGGGCACGTGTACACGCAGGTAGAGACACTCACCTGAGCCTGTGCACAGGGCTCCTGTCGCCTCGGGAGCGGCGGGCTGGCGGCCTGGGCCGGAAAGGGGCCCCCAGTGCTGCAGGAGAGGGGCAATTTGGGAGCAGCCCCAGCGCGGACCTGCGAACTGAGGTGATGGCGCGCCTTCTTTAAATCCTACCCACCCATCCGCCACCCCACCCCACCCCCCCCACCCTGCACCTCCGCCCGCTCGGCTCCGGCCGAGAAAGCCCGCCCAGAGGGGCTCCGGGTGCGGGCGCACGCTCCGAGGCGAGCGCGCCGAGAGGGGCGCGGCGGCGCCGGCGCAGGAAACTTGGGCGAAGTTAGTTGCAAGTCCCGGGCGGAGGCCCAGAGGACCGAGTGGGACGCGGCCGGTGCCTGGCCCGCGGCTCCGCGCCCAGCGCGCTCCGGGTGCCCGAGTCGGCCGGCGCGCCAGGAGGGGCTTGGAGAGAGCCGAGCCGGCATGGCCCCAGGGACAGCGAGACGCGCCGCCCCGGCGAGCCGGGAGGATTTCCTTTGAGGCCCGGAGATCGATCCCAAGCTTGCTGAATCCTCAGCCAACCTCCTGCCCCGACCCGCAGCCGGGGAGGAAGACCCACGAGGCAGTTGCTGGGGTGTGGAAAGCTCCCCCCGCAAACCCCAGCCCACCAGGGGGGTTCCCATCAGCGCACCCCGCCTGCTGCAAGCGAGGAAGACCGGCCGGTGCCGCGGTATTTGTATTTATATCCATTGCGGCGCTCTGCGTTCCCTCGGTGCGCCCGGACCCCCTCCTCTTCCTCCTCCCGGCCGCCCCCCCTCCTCCCCCACCCCCATCTGCCACTGTCAAATGAGAAAGTCACCGAGGAGAACCCAAACACTCCAGCCGCCGAGAGCCCCCTTTGGCACTTGGCAGCACGCGGCGGCTGACTCCTCCGCTCAACTTGGTGGCGCCTCCGCGACGCAACTTTCGGGGCCGCTGTGCATTTAACAGGGGAAAGACCGAGGAGGAGGACCGTGCTGCTGGGTGGCGGCCACCTGCGGGGAGTTCGCGAGCGGACGCCACCGGACAGGAAGGACACAAAGAAAAGGGCAAACTGCCACCGTGGGGGTGGGGACACCGCCGAGAAGTTCTCGTGCCCCGGGGAGGATTTTGTTTTCCCCACCCCCGAGCGCCTGGCCGACCGGAGACAGCAGAACATCCAAGGGGCGCGACGCGGCCCGGGGCTGGTCCCTCGGCCCCCTCCTCCCGGCGGGAGCGACGCCGGTGTGAAAAGTGGGGAGCGGCGGGCCGAACGGGTCCCCGCCGACAGCCAACATTGATTTCCTCCGGGCCGAGAGCGACGGCCCGGGCGGCGGCGGGCTGCAGCCGCGGCAGGGCGACAGCATGTCCAAGCCGGTGGACCACGTCAAGCGGCCCATGAACGCCTTCATGGTGTGGTCCCGGGCTCAGCGGCGCAAGATGGCCCAGGAGAACCCCAAGATGCACAACTCGGAGATCAGCAAGCGCCTGGGCGCTGAGTGGAAGCTGCTCACCGAGTCGGAGAAGCGGCCGTTCATCGACGAGGCGAAGCGCCTGCGCGCCATGCACATGAAGGAGCACCCCGACTACAAGTACCGGCCGCGGCGCAAGCCCAAGACGCTGCTCAAGAAGGACAAGTTCGCCTTCCCGGTGCCCTATGGCCTGGGCGGCGTGGCCGACGCCGAGCACCCGGCGCTCAAGGCGGGCGCCGGGCTGCACGCGGGCGCGGGCAGCGGCGGCCTGGTGCCCGAGTCGCTGCTCGCCAACCCCGAAAAGGCGGCCGCCGCCGCCGCCGCTGCAGCGGCGCGCGTCTTCTTCCCGCAGTCGGCCGCCGCCGCTGCTGCGGCCGCCGCCGCCGCCGCCGCCGGCAGCCCCTACTCGCTGCTCGACCTGGGCTCCAAGATGGCAGAGATCTCGTCGTCCTCGTCCGGCCTCCCGTACGCGTCGTCGCTGGGCTACCCGGCCGCGGGCGCCGGCGCCTTCCACGGCGCGGCGGCGGCGGCTGCAGCGGCGGCCGCCGCCGCCGGGGGGCACACGCACTCGCACCCCAGCCCGGGCAACCCGGGCTATATGATCCCGTGCAACTGCAGCGCGTGGCCCAGCCCCGGGCTGCAGCCGCCGCTCGCCTACATCCTGCTGCCGGGCATGGGCAAGCCCCAACTAGACCCCTACCCCGCGGCCTACGCCGCCGCGCTATGACCCCCGCGGGGTGGCCTCGCCGGGACCAGTGTGCCCACGTGTACATATGTATAGGTACGAGCTCTGCGGCCTCCCCACGCGCCCTCCCGCGACGGGGGCCCCCAGGTGTGTGTGTACATAAAGTGTATAGATGCCAGTCGGGGCGCGAGTGGCCGAGCGCGCGAGTGCGCGGGCGAGTGTGCGTGTGAATTCGACAGGATCCTTTCAGACCTGCACCCCGCAGACAACTTTCAAGAGGGCAGTTGTATCCGACAGCAGTGGCTGTTTGCTTTGCACTTCGGAACCTGTTGCGTTTTGGCCCACAGAGGTGGAAGAGTAACTTTTTTTTTTTTTTTTACATGTTGGGCTTTCCAGCTTTCTCTGTGGGAAGTTTACTGTCGGTTTTGCTTTTGTTGCCCATTGTTTTTCTTGTATTATTATTCTTTTCTCCTGGTCTGTGTTGCATGCACTCTGTTCAAACGTTAGGTCTGAAATGGTTGGCACAAGGGAAAAGCTGATCTGTGTCATTAGTTTCTCGGAACGGGATGGCTCCGAGCAGCCTTGCTCCCTATTTGTACTGTTTGAACTTTGCAAATCTCTGTTCTCTCAAGCAGAACCCCTAGACCGGATCCATTCTTGACCAGTGACCGGCTCGAATCTGGCCTTTTGTGTGTGAGACGATCACGGTTTCTTTTGTTTATCCTGCCATATGCAAATCAGACCAAGAGCTCTTTCTCAGGAGCAAGGACCGCAAACAAGAAATGTGTGTGAAATGAAAAGTTGTCAATTGGATTTTCTCCCTTAAAAAAAAAAAAATCTACTAGAAGTCTTCCTGAGTCCACTCGCTAGAATTTTTGACACAGTTTACACAGAAAAAGGTATTGTTCCTATTTTCTCATTATGGCTGAGTTTCACCTTCAGATTGTAAATGTGTATATGTCCATGAAAGCATTAAGCCTGAAAATGTGTTATTTGCATTGCCCTAAATTTGAGTCAGTTTTTGACTCTCAAACATTTTGAACTAATGTCAAAGTTAACTTTTAAAAATTGCGGGACTATTTCAGACCCACAATTTTATCTAAGACTAAATCAGACTTTTTTGTCTGAGTGGTAATTATATATTTATTATTTAGCAAAACAAAACAAAAACCAGAATTGTTTTGACAGATGTCTCTTCTTTGAGCTAGCATTTCTCCACCAACTCAAACCGCTTAAATGTGTTTTGGAGTTCCCTCCCTAATTAGCTTATTTTTTAGATCACCTGCAATTCATTTGCAAATGATGATAAAACACATTTTAGAGAAAAGAACCTCATTTGTAGCTTTTTTCTTTTTAAGTGTATATATTTTGACTACTGTTTGTGAATGAAGTTGGCTAACATGTATTTAGTTTCATTTTGGCTTTATGTAATATAAAGTTTTTGAAAGTTTAAGTATTGGTTTTAACCTTTATGTGTAAATGGTTTTTCTTGTGTGATCTTCTAATTTAATATTAGACGTCTAAACTATATCTGTAAATTAGAACCCGACTATCACTCTGTTCATTTTTTTTGAACAAAGAGTTTAAATAAAGCCTGAACCAGGGAAAAGAGAAAATCCTCTATTTCTTGTTGAGTTCCTAACAAGATTTTTATCTGAATTGCCCTTACGTGCCTGGTCCAGGTGAAGTGTAAGGTATCCTCCAAAGGCAGTCTTTGTTTCACTTTTGAATAGATTTACTAGGAAATCTAAATCAAGCCATTGTTATTCAGAGCCAAAAACCTGATTTATCACATTTTTAATCGTGAATAGGAAAGAAGATAAAAAAAAAAAACCAAGTAGTTGTATTATCTTGGGGGAAAAAAAAGGCATTCATGAACCAGTAGAACAGAGCCCATTGAAAACATCCAGACCGTTTAAAGCATTTCACTAGTTTCCAGTAACATTTTAAGAGGCGAAAGTTGCCTGACCACTTTATCTTGTTAGCAGGAGAGCCCCACTGCTTAAATCAGTGTAATTTGTTCTTGTATCTTTGGTATATTCCTTATTTACACCTTAAGATTTTATTTGTAAGGATGATCCCTGAATTAAGACTTTGTACAACTTTTGACCTCTTTAAGGCTTTATTCTGTCATGCTAATGGCATTAAAATAGAAACAACAAATTCTAGTGGAGAGGGTTGAATTTCCAAAGCCGCACAAGCTTCCACTGGAGAAAGGTTTGAAATCATACCAGGTTTTAATTTCAAAAAAGAAATTAAAAGATGCCAGGAAGACTATCAGAAAAAAAAATTACCTGGAGGGAGATCTTATTTTCCCCCCACCAAGATAGAAATTCTAAAGATACAAGACTCAACTAGTCCTAAACTAGTTTCTCCAAAAGAGACAATCTCTGGAGCTCCACGTCTTTATAAGCTACCCAACTCTCTTTAAAGTCATTGTTTTCCCCCTACGGAATAATATTTTAAGAACCATGAAAAGTTTGGAAATGTGAGAAATAGGCTCTGCTGGTTTGACCCTGATTCACTAATTAAAACGATCCTTCTCCTGTTATTCCCCGAGCTCTTTGCAATATTATAAGTTAATTCATATGGTTCTGAGCGATTATGCAAAACTAATTTGGACTGTCCAGGGGTAATTATCCCTGACACGGTTAATTAAATCCTTTCAAGGCTCCGTCTTTCCCTTTTGTAGCAGCCCATCACTTCTCAACACGGAACTTCCTGCGGCTCCCTGGAAATCACCCCAGCCCTAAATCTTAGTTACCTCCCTGAGCCTTCCAGCTCGGCCCCACCGGCCTGAAGAGTTCCACGCCCCCTCCCGCCCCCTCCCCTTTCTCTAATGATCTGCGTTTTCTGGGAGCAGCGCTCCAGAGTGTTGGTGAATGAGAATAGGACTAGAGAGATGCGTTGGGGAGGTGGGGGAAGGATGCTGGGGGTGAGCGCAGAGGGCCACACCGCCAACAGGTTGTGCGGCTGTTTGAGTAGTCCACAGGGCCACAGGGGTGACTGGTTTACCACCCCTCTGACTCCAGTGGTCTTGCTAACTAGTTGCGCCTAGAAAAAGTCTCTCTCTGAATTAGATTGTGCAGAAGAAAGGGGGTGCGACTCGAGGGCAAGAGGGCGTGGAGAAAAGGCCGGGTGTGTGTGAGTCAGAAAGTGACCCATACGTAGAGCCCTGGGACTAGGCAAAGAGCTGCTGCCTGCTCCAGATCTCTCGCTTGCTCTCTAACCATCTGTGTCTCTTTCCCCTCTTCTCTCATCTCCTGCTTTCCTTCTTTTTGCTCTTAACGTTTTCGTTTAAGGTTTAAAA